GGCTGGAGGTCGTGCCTGTGTCTTCTACCACAGCCGCCAAGACCATTCAAGTGTTGAGAAACATTTTTGCTGCACACGGGTTGCCAGATGTTCTAGTGTCGGATAACGGTCCTCAATTTACTTCTACTGAGTTTCAGGGATTTCTTCGGACCAACATGATCCGCCACGCTGCTTCGGCTCCCTTCCATCCTTCCACCAATGGTCTGGCTGAACGGATGGTCCGCGTCACCAAGGACGCCCTCAAGAAGCTGACTTACGGCAATTGGCATCACAGGTTGGCTGACTTTCTTCTGGCACATCATACTACTCCGTGCACTGCCACGGGTAAGTGCCCCGCCGAACTCCGTTGGGGTCGTCGGCTCGTGACTAAATTGGACAGGCTGCATCCGGAACGTGTAGCTGCACAGGTGTCTCAGCCACACCCACCACGGGTCCTTCGTGAAGGTGATCATGTCTGGGCCAGGAATTACGGGCCTGGCCATCTCTGGGTCCCAGCCGTGGTCTGCAAGGTCTCGGGGCCTCTGTCCTACGAGGTTCCCTGACAGACGGTCGCGTTCTTCGCCGCCACATTGATCAACTACGTGTGAGACGGGACGCGCCTATGGTTCCCTCTCAGTCTCCTCTAGGGGGGAGGAGGAAGGGGAAATGCATTCTGGGAATCAAACTCAGCAGCCAACGATGGCTGTGGGGAGTGAAACGGGTTCTCAACACCCAAGTTTCACAGGTACTTCAAGTAGCAGTTCTTGGGAACAGGGGTACATAGACACCCCTACACACACTCCAGCCTGGGAGTCCCACCGGTGGCAGAATAATTATCCACCCCTTACAAACAATACTCCAGACACGGAGAACACCTGGGAGCATACTCACAACTCACAACATGCAAGAGAGCAGGCAAAACAAAGGGAAAACACGTCCCATGCTGATATGGCTCATAGAAGGATGTCTTCACGCATCAGGGCTAACAGGGAGGCATCCCTTGACCCTATCACTACAGAAACGAGCCAGGAAAACCTCACTCCGTTAGGAAACACGGCAATGAGTTCAGAGGGGTTAGAGCACTCCATAGAGGGTAGGTCAACCAGGTTTAGTGATCAACAGGGTTCTGACTGCTCGAATACTGGAGGTGGACAGGATAGTCAAACTGAAGTCATCAGTCATCCACTGGGCAACTCACCTAGTTCAAGAAGCAACGGGGAAAACAATACAAACTTCCCAGGTCTGAGAAGGTCGCTCAGGGTAAGAGGCCCTCCCAAATACCTAGCTGACTATGTAAGGTGAACAGGTGAACTGTAATCACTGAACTAGAGGTCCTGACTGGTTGACACTATGTAAACGATGGGGCTACTGGGTCTTGTATGACGGAATAGTTCCACATCATACACACACTGTGTAACTTAACTTATCAGTTAACTATTTAACCATCATTATGATGGCGTCCATGTGGACACCGTATTATTTCATCTAGGGGGAATGGCCTGTTGTGTCCTGAGCCTGCAAAAGCAGGCTCGGGACGTTGCAAGAGTCCCGGGCATTTGCAAAAGCTGCCCGGGACCAGACTGAGTGGCGCCGGCCTTGTGCGCATGCGCAAGGTGGGAAAATACCGCCTCATGATTGGTTGAACTTGCCCGGGGATCAGAAGGTATAAATAGAGGCCTGCGTGCCTCTGCTCGGGTTG